CCCACTGCACTAGGACGAAATGAGGAAAAGCATTTGGCTTGGAATCACGACTTCTCTCCTTGTCAAACTTGCTGACCTTGGGCAAGTCACTAAACCTCTCTGGGCTTTAGTTTGAATCTCTCTAAAAAGAGGGGGTTAGCTCACAAGAAATGGAAAGAGGCTTCATCTCATCCAGTCCAACTGGATTCAAGCCTATTCACAGCGGCTGCCTAGGGCACTGTGCCTTAACACAGAATCCTTAGAGGATTCTGAGGCCACATAAGGGCGAAGCAGAAAGGGCCACAATGAGTGAGGTCTGCCATGGGCTTGGAAGGTGAGTAACTGGGTGAGCACCTGAGGGTTTCTGCTGATGATGATTTGAGGTACCTGAGGGGGGGGTCATTTTAATTTTGGTGACAGCATTTTAAAATCTCTCTTCTTTCACGACTTTCTAACCAATTCAAAGAATCTTCCTTAAATAGACAGCTTTTCTAAGACTGGAGATACTGTTTTGTTTAAATTTTCACGTTGAACAATTCTGTAACTAAAGCGGTCACAAGAACCTAGCAGCAGTTTTGTTCGTTAGGATACCTCACTGAACAGGAGTGCACCTATCACGACTGGGACTTGCTATAGGGCTTGCAAAGATCCCCCAACACAACGGCATTCTGCAGTGTGGCTTTGCCACTGTCCTACCCAGCACTGAAGTCTCTTTCCCTCCCCTTGAATCCCAGCTACAAAGACCCATGGCTACTTGGGCCAATGGAGTGTCACAGAAGGGGGGCTCTGAGCCTTCTCGGCCTGTGCAGGGTGGTTCCATGGAAGTGATGTAAGGTTTGGGGGAATCTGGGTGAAAGGTATGCAGAATCATTTGTGCTATTTCTGCATCTTTTTAAAATCTGCAACTGTTTTAATTAGAAGTTAAATAAAGTCTGTTTCTTTTTTTCTTTTTTTGCACACTGACACTGAAGGAGCCCCACTTCCTGAGGCTCTTGTGCTGTCAGGATGCCCAACTTAGTCCCACTGAGGGGCCATGTGGAGGAGAAGAGGGAAAGAAAGACATCAAATGTGGGGTTTAGTGGGTTTTCTTTCTTTTTTTTTTTTTGGATTTGAAAGAGCAATTATTTGTTTGTTACGATGAACCAGAAGTACAAGATTTCACCAAAACAGCAACAGTTGACAGAATATGGCTGAACTTAAACAAAACCTTCAAGGGAAGTAAGAGGGTGAAACAAAGCCCATAGGAGTGAAGAAGTCCAACACTGGTTAGGAACACATGTAAAGATAGTAGCATCCAAGTGTGGGTATCTTCTGACCCTCTCTCTGCCTGCAGTCAGATGGCCATCATTTCCCCACACCCCTCTCCCTTCTGAAGCTTCTGCCAGACCACACGACTGCTCTGTACTGCAGATACAAACCAACCCGAGAGCACCCTTTTAGACATGCTGTATAAAGCCCAGAGGAGTGTTTATAAACCTCACAGTCAACCGAGGATTGTTGAAAACAATCCGATAAACCGAGGATTATCATCTACGTTCCAGCCCCGGGAGACGCCATGGGGAGCAGAGATGGATCTTTCCACCAAAGCCCTGCCCAAATCACAGAATCTCTAACTTTGGGGGGGAGGGGGTTGTTACACAGCAATATGTCAACCTTCTGCCTGTGGCAAAAAGCTTCAATTCTGGTTTGGCAAGATCTAGCTATGTGAATGAGTCTTTTGGACCTATTCCTTGGGCTGAGGTTGCTTTCGCAGTCTTCATGGCTAAATGCTTTTGTTTCCTGAGTTCCTTTTTATATACCATCCCTACTCTTATTTCATTGAGATTTATCTTCCCACATATCTAAGACTATTAGTGGTATTTTTCTCCCGTTTTTTTCTAGCAGGGTTTTTGTTCCTTGTGTCGTCTCTGTCCCCTCGGAGTCCCTTTTTCGTTTGTTTTGGTCACCATCTGTTGTTTTGGAGCTTTACTCAGGTCTCTGGCAATCCTCTACTACTGGTTAATTTTTAAGGCTGAGATGCTGTCACTTGCAGCCTTACGAGCCTTGGCAAAACATAACACAAATGCTGAAAGCCGCACTCAGACGGCACCAGCTAGGTTGACTGCATTCAGATATTAAGGAGGTAAACTAGACAGAACACAAAAAACTTATTTCAGAGAGGAGGTGCTCAGAAAGAAGTCTGTATAGGGTGCAGCTGAAGCATGGGATTGGTAACTTCTACCAGAGGTGTGGGATCCATAAGGGAAAGTGCCACAGAAGAGTGACATTTTGTTTCACCTCTGAGGTATGCAGGGCGGGGCAGAGCGGAAATGAGGGGCGGGCAGTCACAGTCACGGGAGCAGCGTGGCAGGTGAGAGGCCCTGTCTACTTACAGACACCAGATGATGATACCTGGACTTGAAGTGGATGTCATGACTGATGATGAGCCACCTGCTGGGCTTGGAAGGGATGGATGTATTTTGTGCATAGGGAGGGCTGGGGATGACGTAAATTGCTGGGAACAGTGTGAAATGCGGTAAATCGTCTGCCAAGATGTTCACCAACAATTCTTCCCGCTCTACATTCACGTGCTATTCCTCCTGAGATGGAGTTTCTTTTACATGAATGTTTATAATCGCCATGATTTATTATTCATCAGAGTCAAAAAGTAGAAACCCAAGCATGAAAGGATAAAGAAAATGTGATACATCCATAGAACGGGGTGTCATTTGCCAACACAGACCTGGAGTACTGACATATGTGTACAACATGGATGAGCCTTTAACACATTAAACTAAGTGAAAGAGCCAGTCATAAAAGGCCATATTACATGATTCATTTTATAAGAAATGTCCAAAATGGGCAAATCTGCAGAGATAAAGGAGATAAGTGGAGGGGGAAGGTTAAGGAAATGGGAGTGATTGTGAAAGGATATGGGTTTCTTTGGGGTGATGAAATGTTCTGGAATTAGATAGTGGTGGTGGTCATACAACTCCCGACTAGGTCTCTCAATAAAGTTCTTACCAAAAAGGGGGCGTCGATGACATCTATTTCCCCTCCTGTTGATTCTAGCCAGCCTTGTGACTTGCTCTGAACAGAATATAGGTAAGTGATGCTGGACCAGTTCTGGGCCTCGCCATGAAAAAGCTGGCAAGCTTCTACTTTCACCTTCTTGGAAGCTAGCCACCATGTAAACGAGCCAGGGTAGGTGGGACAACAGGTAGAGAGGGGCCTCATGGAAGTAAACCAGGCCCTCATCATGTGAATGAAGACATCTTGGACATTCCAGCCCCAACCAGGCTGACAGCTGAATTAAGTGGCCCCAGGAGAGAGCACGTGAAGCCAACTCACTGAATCATGAGAATAAATCATTGCGGTTTTAAGCCACTGAGTTTTAAGGTGATATGTTGTTATATGAGGGATAACTGCCACATAACCTCTCCAAGCCTCACATTCCACCTCTATAACATGGGACCAAAGCTACAGGGCTCTGAAAGTTATACGAGGCCAGTACCAGGTACTAGGCTCAAGAAATACTAGTTGTTATAGTTGTTATTATTAAGTATCATCCCAGGAGACTCCTGACTACTCAAGTATGCTCCCTGGTAAGCCTCATTCCCATAAGCACCTGTCACCTCCAGTCACATGGTTTTCAAAAACCTCGTTTCCCAAGAAAGAAAAAGAAAGATTGTTTTTTACTACAATTTCTATAGTAAAAACAAAAACAAAAACTCTGAACCATAAATAGACTTAGATTCTGCTTAGATTAGTCATATACTCAGCTATCTATCCATTCAACAAATCATCAGGATTCGAATCTGGAATCTGCCATTTCTAGCTGGGCAAGTCCTTCCTCTCCTCTGTGACTCAATGACTTCACCATAAAATAGGAAGAAGCTCACAGGATTGTTCCAAGGATTAAATGTTAATGTATATAAAGCTCTTAAGAGACCACTTGGCACACAACAAGCACCCGTTACGAATTAGTGAATTTAAAAAGCTGAAGGCATTGTCCCAGAGCAAACCAGAAGGTCACACAACAGTTCTAACAGTCACCAAGACATCTAGCACAGTGCTTCTCAGTAGGTTTCCCTTCTTATCTTTCACAGATTGAGACGTATGGTAAAATGCAAGATCACCTGCTTGAATGTCACAGCAATGTCGAATTACAAGTTCTGCAGTGTTTACTTTTACTTTCTGTACTCATCCCAGCCATTCACAATCACAGACTGCCACTTATCTGCACAGTCACCTTTGAGTAGCACTGTTCTAGCACATGAGAAGGACTCATAAGCCTGCTGAAAACTCAGCTAGCAGGTTCAAGAGTACTATGAAAACACAAAAGCAAAGAACATCAGCCCAAGAGTAGGGACAAGAGGATGACCTGGACGTCAACAGACCAAGAGAGAAAATAATCCCAACAGGCCAAATCTAAAAAAACAAAACTAGCTCTCAGGGCAAGAAGCCCATCAGTGCTTTCCCTCAGCGGTACTCCAGAAGAGGCCATCAGAAAACACATCGAGGGGCGCCTGGGTGGCTTAGTCGGTTAAGCGTCCGACTTTCGCTTGGGTCATGATCTCGCGGTTCGTGGGTTCGAGCCC